GATGCCTATTCAAAGTGCTTTTTTGAAATCAACTTGCCCATCCTCCAATTTTATGAAACTGTAATTACAACTGTTCTCATGTGTCATGTCCCAAAAAAAAAAGCCAGCAGCCGCACTCCCCAAGCATTTTCCATCCATTTTTCCTGGCATTTTTCCTATGGACATCTCAACCATACACTGATCTCCCTGCCGCGCCTAGGTCCTCCGGTAGCAACGAGCTGCGCTGGAACAGCACCATGCGCTGCTGTGGCACTTCAGCCTCTGGGTCCTCGTCGCCCTGGATGCTGGAACCGGGCTTAAAATGGGAAGGCCATGCTATGTGGCCACCAAAAGAAGAGTTCTGGTGACCAAGCAAGATGCCTTTTGATCTTTTTGAGGGAACTACCATGTAGCCAACTGGGTGACAAAATATAATTTGAAATGAGTTGAAGAAAGATGATAAAAGTATGCTGAAATATGATGAAATGTGATGCGAAACTCAGCACTGATCCAGATTTTTGTTGGATGGGAAGCCATGGCCATGACGAAGCCCTGGGCCTCTGGTTCCAAGTCGGCTGTGCTACCATGCCGGAGGGCTCTGTGGCGCACTTCACCAGTACGGCGCCCCTTGGGCCACGCAGGATAGAGCCATTCTCCATCACCTGCAGGGCACTGCAGGGCACTGCAGGGTGCAAGAAGGAAGTCCTGAAAAGTTCTGAAAAGGTTCCAAGTGCAACTCTGAGTCCGAATCCAACAGCAACAACACTCTTGGCACAAGATGCTACAAGTCTGATTAATCATGCCTCAACATTGCTCAACATTTGCTATATTTGTTCAACATCGTTCAAAACGTTCAAAGCCGAACTGAGTTGGCACATGTTGGCAGCCAGCTGTTGGCACCTTCCACTTCCAGCCGTGCTTTCTTCACCTTGGGCGATTTCACCTTGGGTGACTTGGCCTCAGCCATTCTCCGGCAGCGCTGAGCAAAGGCGAACTTCGTGGGCGATACCGGCGATACCGGCGATGTCGCCGTGACCAGAGCACTGATCACCACCATCTCGTCATCGCTGCCGTGCCCCGCGACCCGCGCGACCGCAGGCTGCATCTTGGGGGTCGATGGAGCTGGAGCTGCTGGTTCACCGGGCTCCACATCACTGGCATCGCTGCTGGCCAAATCGAACTCCTTCTGATGGCATGACAGCCTAGGGTGATTCACATGACTCAGGTGGCTCAAAATGTCAAATCCAAAATGAAAGGATGGTGATGGATGGTACATGATTGATGATGGTGCAAATTTATGCAAATTGCGCATGAAAAACCACAAGGCATCTCAAAATATGTCTCACATTTTACCGTAAATACCCTCCAGATTCTGCCCAGTAGCGTCTGGAACATGTCACTTGGCCCCTAAAGATCACTTCTGACATGCTCCAGCTGCAGCTCTAATGACTCTAATGCAAACCTGCTCTACTACTCCATGCGTTTTCGAAGGGTTGGTGTTTTCCGCTTCCAAATATCAGCAACAAGGATCAACAAGGATGGGCAGGATAGGTGCCAATCACTGTGCTTCTAAATGCGGTGTTTTCAACGGCCAGTCGAGATTGTCTTTGGCATGATTCAGCTCTCTCCATGTCCATGTTTGAACTTCAAAGCCCTTCCAGCATTCACCAGTATTCCATGTCAATCATGAGAACAAGTTGGTGCTTAAGTTAATGCGATCGATGCAGGCCTACATGTTGGGCCGCTTTTCCCAGACTGCCAAAATCCAGCTACATCAAGCATGTGTTTGCCCATGTTTGCCCTCATCTTGGCTGATAAAAGCAGCTTCCCAGCACAATATGTCCAATCATTCGAATGTCAGCAGCCTCAGCTAAAAATTTCTGCAACTTAAGGCATCCTTCACTGCACGAGGCAATCGTTGATATGTTCCTTTTTCACCGAAGCGAAGGGTTTGGTCCCCGTGACTTGCCTGTACTCAACGTGGCACAGCGATAGGCACGAAAACCAACTTCATCCACCTGAACTCCAGGATCATTGCCCGCCGCGGTCGAGGAGAGATGAGGAGAGTAGCGAAGTCAGCTGAGCAGCTACACTTCGTGTGAGAGAAAAAAGGTGCCAGTTTTCTGGGATTGTACGGGTGGGTGCAGTGAACAGTGCTGAAATTGATAGCTCGACCCATTCTTCGTCACTGCTTGATGCTGTTTGAGCGCCCGCCGCTGAGGCAAAGGCGGAATGAGCCCGGTTATTTTGGCCCAGCGTGGATGAAGGGTTTCATAACGAGAGTTCGTTTTGTTGGCTCCTGCTTAGCTACGCCGCTACGCGTGAAAGTTGGCTACCGGATGCTCCACAGATCTCGGACTCAGGAGCCAACAGCCCGCGCTGAAAATGAAACGTGCACACCAAGGCCTTGCAGTAGCTGAATGCCACGGATTGACAGGGTGGTCTCTCCCTTCAGCGGTTCACAATGATCACAACATGATAGGACCATATCCCAAGCAGCTTGGCTCCCATGAGGATCATGAGGTTTTTTAAAGAGATCGCCCAAGCTCTTAGCAGCATCAAGGGACTTCAAAGGGTGCAAAAAAAAAGCACTGGAATCCCTTGGCTACTCGTCATCCGCTTTACATTTCAGCCGCTTTAAATCTGTCAAGACTGCTTGGCCTGTGCCCTGAGCCGCCGGTACAACTGGAAGGCACGATGTGCAAATCTTGAGCTGCTGCCCCAGATCAAATCTGTTTTCTGATTCTATAAACACACACACACACTATATATAATATATATATATATAGATAGATATGTGTGTATATATATGCAGTATATGTATATATATATATATATGTGTGTGTGTATATATATATATTTATAGATATCTGTGTGTGTGTGTCTGGAAGGGACATTATGGACATTGACATGTCAAAAAAAAGAATCCACCGCAGTCAATCTATAAAGCCTCATTGTCTTTGCAACTATTCACCGAGAAGAGTATAGAAGAGCTGATTCAGGGGCAGCTCAATGCAACGTGCACAGCTCTGTCCAACAGTGAGCTACATTGTCAAGCTCGTTCAAACATACGCTTGGATTTCTGCTAGCCTGGTGACGCTCATCACATTGTGGGAAATCTAGTTTGTACGCTCCGACCCCACTGGTTACGGTTGCCAAGAAAAGTGATACATGTAGTGTGTACATTCCAGTCGAATTGAACTTCTTGGAAGAGAGATATTTTGACAATCAAGTTGGTGCGCATGTGGTTACATATGCAATATCTCTCTCCCTCCATCTCCTTACTAGGTATATGACAGTATGTGTCATGGATATCTTATCGATCTTGATATCATATGACACATGATCCTCTGGTAAACAGCCACATAACTATGGAAAATCACCATGTTCAAATCATGGTAAATCAACTATTTCCACTGGGCCATTTTCAAGTTCGCAAACTCTTAGTTGACCTCAACGAGCTCAACTGGACGGTCGATGTCCGAAGCTAAAAGGTGACCGTTGCTGCGGTGCCTTGGACGCCAAGGCAGCACCACTTGGACGCATACCAAGTGGAGCAGCTCATGGTGCCATCACCATCTTATGGAGCTATATCATATGTATACAATATGTATATATATATATACATGTTAATAATGCTAATAAATGTCAATAGATGTTAATATCCTAATAGATGTTAATATATGTTAATATGATAATGGATGGCAATTCCGGTAGTTATAATATGTTAGTATGATAATATATGATGATATGAATTACATTATTGTCTGTGGATGTTATGGTAATTATGATGAAACCCAATTAGGGGAACAGAAATGGAATGAAATGGATAATTGCCAGCATGACCATCATTACCCCAGTATCACCATAATGTACTCCGAAGAGTTTCAACACACAACAACAACAAAAAAAAAGATGCGCATCTCACATGGTTTCACCGTCTCGGCCACGGATACGGAGGATACGGAGGATACGGCTCGGCCCCCCTGGCACAAACACCGGGGTCCCGGTGTAGTCTAAACATGTTTCGCCCCATCTGTCCAGAGTCCCGGTCGTCCCGAGGTTGACGTGGGCGAAATCTCTGGGGGCAGTGGAAACACGCCTGGTGGGATCAGTCGGGATCCACGGAAATCGTGGGCGGCCATGGCCAATTCATCATACGTTTTATATGTACATTATGTTACTATGATGTACTATGATGTCCTATGATGTACTATGATGCACTATGAATTACTATGTTTTACTATGATTTACTATGATGTACTATGAATTACTATGATCTACGATGATTTACTATGATGTACTATGATTTACTATGATACATTTCCAGATTTCTCATGACATGGATATCATGTATCATCAAACCAACCTATAATGCATCCAACTAATGGAAGTCCTGAAACCTTCAACCAGTGCCGTTGGACTGGACCTGGGCATCTCCCATTCTGGCGTTGCGTTGATTTCTGGCGCGCTCCGGCGCGCTCGAGGCACCGTTCGGAGGAAGCTGCAGCAGCATTGGCTGCTGGATGGACCAGCTTCCATGGAACAGTCTGAAAGATCAGAAAAAGTCATGCAGCCAGCCTCTGATTTTGTTAAATATCATTGGATTTCAATGGATATCACAACCACTTCTGGAATAATTGTATGATAATATCAATATCAATTCTATAACATCAAATAAAGTAGGATCTGATTAATGTTTGTTCAATGCTGGCTGCAAGAAGCATGGGATTCTAGGTGCATCCTACGCGTCTTAAATTTCTCGCAGTAGGACGTTCCATGGATTGTGAATTTAGGGTTGCCTTGGCTGTTCGCATCCAAGGAGCAACAGGATGTAGATCCTCAGCAAGAACATGTTCTGAGTTTCATTGGGACGTTTTGTTTCACTAATCACCCAATTCTTGTCACTCAAAAACATCTTTCAAAAGTCTAAAAATTCTGTTTTTTGGGGACGTTTTCCATCAGTTTTCCATAAGTTGTTTTTTGTCCATCCAACGCCATCTGGGGCTCGGCGCGCTGCCTCATGGCTCCACCAAGCCTCGGGGCCCGACTTTCCAGCTGAAGATATCTGTGCGTTTGTGATGTTTACCCTCTGGTAAACAGCCACATAACTATGGAAAATCACCATTTTTAATGGGAAAACTCACTATAAATGGCCATTTTCAATAGCTATGTTAAATTACCAGAGGGTATATGATGCGTTTGTTTAAGCTCAATGGGATCAGCTCTTGTGACTTGATTATACTTTTTTTGTGACTTGTGTTCGTCGTTACATACTATCCACCGATATATCTTACACTTGTCTTGGTCTTGCCGCACTAAGAGCTAACTAAAGATGCCCAAAGGAAAGCGATTCGAATGGACCTTATCTGCGATGTATGCTGCTGCTGGATGATTTGCCATGTGTATTCCCATCCGGGCCCCGGGCTGGAAACCATGTCTCGAAAGCGATGGCACGCCGAAGCGTCCATGCCCAACCTACTATTGATGCTGTCCAGCAAGATGGCAACCTGGCACATCGACACAGAAAATCACTGGTGGCACCGGTGAATGTCACATTCAGTCACTGAGTTTTATCATGTTTATGATGTTTATTCTCTAATAGTATTATAGTGGAGATATGCAAAATCCATTTAGATTCGGTTTTTCTGCTGGGTATGCATCAACATGTATCAATCATACTGAAAGCTGTGCACCTCTGGCTCGTTGATGAATTGGGAGCAGTGGCCAATCATTGCCTGCACGCCTTCAGAGCGTCAGGCATTGCGCTGACCAGTTTCGAAGGGGATGGATGTCCCAAAAATATCCCAAAAATTAGAAGACCGCAAACCACCCACATCTGGTTGCCAAGTAGGGGATGTTCAACCCGAAAAAACCAACACGATATATACATATATAGATATATAGATATATAGACTATACATAGATATATATATATATATATCCCCCAGGCATTTTTCTCCATGTTTACTCCAGTTTACGCTTCTCCCAGTGCCTTCACGAGATGGCTCAAAGCCGAACCTGATCCCAAGTGACTCGAAGTCTCGACTAAGTCGAGAGGACATGGACAGGGGAGCAATTTCCAAATGAAAAGAACATGAGATGAGACCCTAAGACACCCTACACCATCTACACCATCTACACCCACACTCCAGGACTCCAAGATGCTGTTTTTGGACAGTTTGGTTTTCAGTCCAGGCCAAAAACATACATCACTGTGCCTTGGCAGAATGAGTTTCTGCACGTCCAAGGCTAGCTTTGCTCGACCTTCGTGAGGAATTGAAACTAGAAGACTAGAAGGTGAACCGAAATTGGTTGGAATGATGGGCCAATCTTGCAAACATGATCAAATATGATAATATGATCAAATTACCTGAGGCAGGAAAAGAAACACCAAGAGCGCAGTGGCTCGCGCAGTTTCTTACCACTAGCTTCTGACATCTTCTGACTCTTGATGGAAGGGTTATGTTAAACAGTTAGACCAGCTGGCTATCCAACCTGGCAAATGGTAGAATCCGTCAGCTGTCGCGGCCTGCGGAATTCACAAATGCACATCATTCAGTCAGCAGTTTTCCTCAAATCATGGCCATGCACATATCGACATGCTGCACAGACCTCACATACAATTTGAATCATCGAAAATTAATATCATAATCATCATCATCATCATCGTCGTCATCGTCATCGTCATCGTCATCGTCATCATACCAAACACCAAATGCCAAAATGCCAAAATGCCAAATACCAAAATTGATCAAACATATCTGCATGTTTTTTTGTTAGCTAGTTCGCCAGAAAACATCCAACCCATCCAACCGGTACGTGCATTTCTTCAAGCAAATATTATATTTATCATTTATATTCATTTATATTCATGTGTCATAATATGTCATAATCATATGTTCAGATTGGTTCATGTTGTTTTCCCATAGTTTTTCAAAAAAAAACGACTGGAAACGTCCAACAAACAGGTCCTGCCTTGGCCTTGAGGGCCCTGATGGATTTCTGGAAGGCTGGATGGCTGAAGGCCACCAGCTGTGCACGCAGCAACAGGATCACGAAGGTCTTGCAATCTGCGGTTTCAACTCAGCAGATGGAGCGATATGGAGCGATGGGGATGGTGGGAAACCTTGGGAAACGCGTTTAAGTTTTTACCAATCACAAAAACCATTCCCCAAAATCACCATTTTTATACAAGGTGGTGGTATGAACCATTCCCAACTGCCCAGGATAAGTGAAAAAGTTTATGGAAAAGTACTGCTGCTGTAGTTGGTAATTAGAGTTGATTTGTCTGAAAATTTGGTGTCGATATCGATTGGAACGAGTGCCCCAGGCTTTCAAAAGACAGCAGGGTTTTCTCAATCTGCTGTCCTGCTATCTGAACCTTTTCCAAGTACGTAATGTACACTCGTTGTGCTCATGTTTCTTCCCACATCATCTAGCTCCACATGCTTTATTGCCAGCTGCGTTGTACTCTAACATTTTACCTTGGCATCTGCACAGCTAAGGGCGCCACCCTGTCGAATGCTGCATTCATTTCGAGGACTGGCAAGCATATTCAACGACATCTCACAGAAACATCTACATATGCGGCTGCTTTCATCCTTGCCATTCTGCTTGAACAAATGATTGCTCGCAGGCTGACTGTCGAAAGTTCTGTGAGTCATGATATCCACGCAATAAATCGTCTGGTCGGGTGGTCTCAACATGTTTCAACGTATCTTCTTGGGGGTGAAAACACCATAAGGATTGGAAAATATTGGAAACCTTCCCAGAAGCGCTCGTCGCTAGCCGCTACAGTCATTTCGATCCAAAGTAACCAAAACTGACCACCTCTCCCTTCGTCCCCAGCCTGGCCATTTTCCTCTGCTGCAGGGCTTCTTGGATTGCGACGGAGTTCACATACACGTCTGGATCCTCGAGGGGCAATTACATCTGCCAGATCCAGTCGGGGACCAATGGCTTTGGGCCATGGCGCCATGGCACCGGCACCCCTGTCCTCTTCGAAAGCTTGGAAGGCTGTGAGCATTTCGATGACCTTGGTCAACACAGCCATTGCAGAACAAGCGTGGCAGTTGTGAGGCCATGGCTGCCATGGCTGATGCCTAACGGCCTAACGCTTAGATCCCCACGCCCTCGTCACTAGCATCAAAGCCGTAACTGGCAAAAAATCCACGTGGCCGGGGCCAGTGGAGTGGAAATGGCGAGGAAATGGCAAGTTCTGGATGTAATAACAATGTAATATGATGTAATCAGGATGTAATCATTACAATCTGCCCGGAATCCCAAAGCATTTCTTGTAGGATGTCATAGGCCATATTTATCCCATATGACCCAGTGCAGTATCCATGCCAATGAGTGGTGCAGTACCGCACCTAGGGATGATCTTCACTTGCTCCCTGCGAATCAGTCTCTTCAAGGCCTTGCACTGTGAGGTGTTCAAACGTGCCGCGCTTTGATCCTACGGTTTCGACTGCTTCAGGAAGAGGGTATTTCCATACTTCGGTAGCCCAAAATCGCCCAAATCAGAGCGCCGCGCTGAGTGGTATGAAGTCTTTTTGTCCTTGCCCTGCACGATGGTTGTGGCAATGAAAACACCAACAGGCGGTGAAGGTAGGTGGAAGGAACTTGCAAATGCGACACAAACAATAACATCAGAACATGTCATTGCCATCAACCAAATTTGGAATCAGAGGGCGCCCCACCTCGCCACACTCCTGAGGATCAAAGCCAAAATCGACGAAGACTTGGATGAGTATAATTAAGAATGTTGGCCACTCGAATTTAACAACTTTACCATTAAAATCCATCAACAATCTATCAGCAACCCACCAGAAATCCATCAAAGATCTATTTGATAATACCAGAAATTGGCGGGGCACTTGGATCACGGCGCGGGACAGCTCGTTGAGCTTCTTCTGGAAGCGTGCTGCCTGATACCCGGTAGCGGCTACCCGGTTGGGCTCTCATGTGCCATTTTTGCTATGATCCAAGCAATCTCACGTATTGAATACGTATGACATGAAATACGCAATGGTGCCCAAAATGGATCTTGTTGATCATTGTTTGATGTGTGCCACCAGTCTACCTTTTTTTCCATCCATTCAGGGACGATCTTTAACGAGCGCAAGTCCAGTAGGCGTCTGCCCACCAAAATCCAACTGGGTCGCGAACTGAGAAGGCTGCAAGCAATTCATTCTGCAGTGCCAATGCCTTGGAGCTCCCAATTCCAATGGATCATCATCATCATCATCATCATCATCCTCATCCTCATCCTATGAGGATGGTAATTTGTGACACATTCTGATGCGATCCTCTTGAATGCCCCTTCCCCCAAGCATCGGGCACGAGCCTTGCTCAGCACCTGTGGCTGTTTTTTGGGGGGGCACAGGATGGAATCGCCCAACAAAAACATCTGCTGAATCTGCAGGGCATCCATGCTCCATGCTGAGATGGGGACAGCGGAGCTATTGTTCTTACCTGCCCAATCTGCCCATCTTCGGTCGATTCGCATGCGACAGTTCTGAGGGGCCCACGATGAGCGGGGGTAGGCGCAGCCTGCCCAGCAATGCCCAGCATGGCCCAGCAGTTGGAGGGCGGCGGGTGGTTTTGGTTTTTGGATTACGGGGCCGGCACCAAGGGGCACCAAGGGGCACCTGAAGTCCCAAACTCTCCAAGTCATGCGATTCTGGTGACCTCAGAAAAGCTCCAAGCTGAAGCTCGACATGCAAAAAAGATCAAAAAGCAGCAGAAACAAAGAACTTACAACTTGCTGATGAAAATCCAAAAAAAACATAAAAACCCTCCAGAACTGCAGGTGCCAAGCCAAACAATCCACAGCTTATTTTTTCATCCGTCAAGTGCCGACTTTGAGCACACGGGTTTCAAAGGCACCCTTCTGCAAGGCTTTCCTGGGGGTCCCACAGGGCCAACATGATTGCGACACAGGATGCAGCCGACTTGGAACCCCCAAACCCATTTTCCGAAATCAAAATGTCCGTGTAAATCGTGTAATCATCTATATAAGTCTATATATCTATAAATTGTAGACTATATAATTACCTATAATTAGTGATGTTTATATTAAAATATTCCTAAACTTTGGCGCCAAAGATCTTCAACTGACTCCTCTGGATCTTGCCACTGGTCGTCTTGGGAAACTCCTCCTGCTCCAGGGGAATCACTAGACCTCAGCTGTGCCGCGCCGCTGTGCGCCGCTACGAAGCCAGGATGGACATCGGTCCGGGCCTGGAGCGAGACCCATGTGTCGTACCAACTTCAAGCGGATCTCCTTGGCCGCCTGTCGAAACTGATGTAGAACTGATGTAGAAACTATAGAAACTATGCCAGAACTGCTGGGAATTGATGTGAATTGGTTGAAAAAACATGGAAATGCTTCAAGTCATTGAAGTATCTCGAAGTCCCAATGGCATTTACGGACGAATGGAATTTGGCACCTGCCTTCAATTTTTTTACAAAAAACCTGCCACAGTTGTCAGCTACAAGTCATGGTGAAATTTCAGCTTTGGACACAGCCAGCTGAAGCATTCGGCCAGGGACCTCTTCCAGTCCATCTAGCTGCTGAGGTCGTCGGGGTACGAAAAAAATGGCCAGACCTGAGGATCATGGGATCCACTAAAGAAACACCATAAAGAAACACCATTGAAACACCAGAAACACAACCAAAATGCTTCTGAGTTTGATATGTGATATTAAATGTTATATATATGACATCTTAATACATCTTATGAAACACCGCCAGAAAAGGTATTGTTGATTATTGTTGTGTATTGTTTGGATAATTTGACCACACAACAGCAATCACAAAGATTATCATGGGAAATTCTTTTTTGGGATCTTGATGAATCTTGGGATATATCATATATTTTTCCTGTGCCTTTTGAATGCCATATATGCATTGTTATATAATGATAGTGTTTCACCATGTTTCACTAGTGCCACATCCCCTGGATTTAGGACGTGCCGGCATCCGGCATCGGCCTTCTGTGCCAGAGCTGGGATCATGAAGTGACACCGCGGCTGTAAAGGTTGGCAACACTTGTTCCAAGCTGTTCACCACATCTTCAACCTCGTAGCAGTAGAAGTTGGCACCACGGATGATGATCATCTCCTTCTCCCGTCCTCAACTCCCCAGGTCCCCAGGTCCTAACTGGTCCTAACTGGTCCTAACTGATCCAACTGTTGGTTCCTGTGACCAGATCAGATGGTATGGTGAGACCAGGTGATCCAATGCATCACAGGGACCTGTCAGGTACAACTGACCATCCTTGATGAATCCAATGTCCCCGGTGTTGAACCAGTCATCCTCCATGAAAGCCTCTCGATTGGCCTCCTCGTTCTTGAGGTATCCGGGTGTGATCACACGTCCTCTAAGGCTCTAAGGCTCTAAGGCACTATGCCACGCAACACTTGGAGATTCCAACGTGGCAAAACTGAAGAAATTGGTCCTGGATACTGGATATGGGCAGAATATGAAGATCTCCAAGTGTCGAATATGGGAATAGAAAATGCCGCTGAGAGTTTCGAACCAAGCTGAACAAATACATCTTGTTGGGTCATGTTGGCAGAAGGTGAAAAGTTTTTATAAGTTTTTCCCATAAAACCTGTCAATGATTTCGTAAATGTCCAGTTTTTCCTCCAAAAAAAAAAGAGATGCGTCCCAATTCCCATGTTTTCTAGCCCCCCACACCAACATCCCTTCAGCAAAAACAAAAAAAAACGTGTGCTGTCCGGAATGCTGTCGTTAAACAAATAAATGAAAAATCCCCCAATAAAAACAAACAATCTAACTAACTAACCCAACAAACTATAATCGCATATTCTCTAATATGTCGCGTTAATTCATGTTCATTCCCATATGAAACATAGAGAGAGAGAGAGTTCGTGAAGTTGCATAGCATCTTTTCCTCCAACCATTTGTCCAATCCCTCCAGGTCCCTCCAATCCGTTCAATCCCTTCACCGCTCCTCGGATCTGAAAGCGTCCCACCTCTTCCTCCGGCAACGTCTCGTTGTCGTCGCTGGCGATGCGGATGGCGATGCCCGGCACCGGCGGCCCCAGATTCACAAAGGCGGAGCGGCCCAGGCGGCTGGCAGCTGCCACCTGCCATTCTACATGTCCATGTCATGTCTATGTCATATGTATGTATGTGAATATGTATATATATATATGTTGTGCTATCTACATTATTATACTAAACTTGAATTTTGTATAATAAGATAATTATTAAGTATATATCATCCAAGTCTGCATCTATATCAATATCTGCATTCATATTTGTCAGTGTCTATTGATTGATTCATGTGTGCCCATTCTACATGTGTTTTGTGCATGAGGAGTTTGAAGCTCGATCAGACTTCGAGCCCCATCCGTGCCCATGTCTGGCCTCAAAGTGATTGTTGTAGGTCATGCACGTGCACGCCTGGGTCAAGGCAGAGTTGGATGGAAATGGAAGCCTACTTAGTAACCTTCAAATCTTTATTGATCCTTCAATGATTCTCCTCATTTAGAGTTAGATATATATATATTATATATATATATAATTGTATATACAATGTTTATATATAGATCCTTTATCCTTTCTTCATGTGTTCATGTGACCCCAGGGGTCGCTGGCGAAATTCTGCACCTCCGCCATCCCAAAGGAGGGCTGCATGGCGTTGCGCGCCACTCCGAAGCGCTTCGTCTGTTCCAGGAAGGCTTCGCACACGGGGATGGTCACCTGCCTGGGCTGAATGGACTTAGATCACTTGGATCTGGATCTGATTATATCACTTAATATATATATATATATATATTTATTTATTTATTTATGTATGTAATATATATATATATATTATATATTATATATATATGCATGTGTGATTACTGTATATCTGATTGATCTGAGATGATTTGATATTATGAATCCTATCGGTCCTATCGCCAATCGAGAGTCCTGTTTTGTTGTCACAGAAAACGTCGTCAGTTGACGCGGTGAAATCTCTGAGGACACAGCTCGCCGGCATTCATCCAGAATTTGCAGCAGGACAGATCGAAGTGACTTTCATCTTTCAGCAAGGCATCAGCTACGAGTTTGAACCTCGGATTGCGATTTTAAGGCACCTTGGGCCTTGGGCCTTGGAGGATCTGGAGGAGCTGTTTGCACATGTGTCAACATCTGATCCCAAACAACAACTGGATCCAGTTTCACAAAAAAGACCGTGCAGTGTTGAGAACACCGGCAACAAGTTTCGACCAGAACCCGATTAATCCAATTGTTTGAGCACTCTATGTGGCAATCCCAAGGACAAAGACCAACTGGGTCTGGCATATCCAAGAACAGAATCTTCAAACACTGCCATTCTTATATCAATATGGGTTGGTCTGATATTATGCTTCACCATTGGATGGTCCACCATTGGATTGCCCACCCCACCAGTTCCACCAGCTCCATCCCAGCCGCGCAAAGTTGGGCGCCCACGTGCGCGTGGCGCGGTGCTCATCCACCAGCCGCAACCAGCGCAGGGGCTCCGCCAAGACGTAAGCGACCTCCGCTTGAACCTCCTCGCAGCCGTGGTAGACATCGCAGCAATGGACCTGGGGATGGGAGTTGGATGGGGATGGAGCGACCTGGTGGCTATGGTGGATGGTGGTGGTGATAAGATTGATAAGGGGATGGTAAAGGATTCAAGAGGATAATGATGGATAATGTGTATGTTCACTGTTCCACCGATTTTTCTGCGTCCAGTTTTATGGAACCGCAATCAATTGTCAGGATTAATCCGGGGGGTGACATTAAGCCATGGCGGATGGTGATTGATATTGGAAAGAATGGGGATTTACAAAAGCTAGCTTGGCATGGTTGATTCACTGATGTGGTTTAAGGAAGAAAAATTACAGAACCTTCCTGATTTAATAGCCTGTATCATATATATATATATATTTATTTATTTATTTATATTTAATATTTATATTTGTAGTATATGCCAATATGGGGGTGTCCCTTCTGTTCACTTAAACCAAGTCAGATTGATGGGCTGGTGGCTGGTGGATGATGCTTGATCAGGCAAAGTGGCAGGCGGTAGTGCCATCTTGGAGGTCATTGGAGGTTTCAGAAATCAAATTCATAACAGATCACCATAAACATCCACAAACCATCATGTACCATCTGGTTATTTAACATAGCCATGGAAAACCCTCATAAATGGAGGTTTTAATGGGAAAATCATCTATAAATGGGCCATGTTCCATGGCTGAGTTAAATAACCATCATGTAACATCCATGCTTTTTGAAGCCTGGAGACTGTGAGGATTGGTACCACATGGTCCAAGGGTAAGAAATTCACGTGAACATCTGAGGAGTCATAGCCACAGAATTGCGCTTCTCCACGGATATGCGCTACCACTCCTGGTACTGCCGGTACCGCTGGGATGCCAATGATGCCATGGTGGCCACTAGGTGGAAAGCCCGGGGTGTTATTCTGCCAGGTCAAGATTCTAAATGATCTATATAAACACCTAACCTGGCAGTAAAAACCAGATAAACACGGATTTTTACACGGCACATAGTTCACGTTCACATCATTCCACATCAACTCGCATCGATTCATATCGATTCATATCGATTCACCGTGGAACATCAGGGAACGGCACCTCCATGAGCAATCTGGATGCATTTGGGAACACCAGTGGACCCGCTGCTCAACCTCAACTCGCCACTGAGGACACAAGAAAATTTATGGAAAAAATATGGAGGAATTTAAAACAGACAGCGCAAGAACCACATATAACATCATATAACATCATATAACCACATGTTTTTCAGATTTTTTCGGCCAATCAGGAGACTGACAAAAAGCCACATCTGATGGAGCTGCGGTCCAGATCCCACTCGACCTGAGCAAGACGCTTTTCAAAACGCGTCTTGCGATTTCACGTGATCTCTGAGTGCCAGGCGGCTCTGTGGCCAGCAACCTTAACACATTTGCGAAGGGTAAAAGACACGTGGGTTTTAGTCTGTTTTTGCCACGTTCAGGTGCCAACTTGGGGAAAGAAAAGGAACAAATCAAAACAAATCATTCCTTGGATGCTCTGTGACACGTAGACTCCACGGTGCATCACTTCGACGCGGATCGACGCTTCGGACGGTGCATCCAAGAAACTCCTCTAGGGCAATGAGCTGCGCGTTGGCCAACTGCAACAACTTCCTGGTCGCCAAGAAATGCCAAGTACTTGGAGAATCTTGGGGAATAGTCATAGTCCAAGCCGCCAAAATCATGTCGAAGGCACTATACAAAAATTGAGCAAAAAGTTGCCATCCGTGCTTTGCCGCCAAGCTTCAGTTTCTCCAGGTGCGCAGCTGTTGTGATCACAGGTGGCTCTTCTAACAGCTGCCAAACATTGCATAGTTTGCTGCACACCGCATGACTTCGATCTGAATAATCCTCGAATCCGAGTTGCGGATTTGAAGCGCAGAAACATACAGAATATGATTGAGTCGGAGTTGGCTTGCAAACCCGCCACATGGGCTAGAAATGACCGAAGGAATGTGGTTCCCGTGGTTCCCGGTTCCCCCAAAATCTTTTGAACCATCCCAACTCAGTCCACATAGAACATAAGTCTTGGTCGGCCAATTCTTCACCCTTTCGACCATTGGTATCATTGGTTGTGAAGATGGAACATGAAACAACTGCCACAAGGTTTGGAGGCCAAAACGCCTTCTGAACAAACTTCTACCACACAACACGAAACATCTCCTGGTCCAACTCCTTCGATTTTGCTACAAGTATCTGGAGGGATTGCAACTGTCACCGGCTTTGTGCCAGACAGCAGGCAACCCCAAAAGCATGGAAAGTGCTGAGCCAACACTGGCACCTGCGAGGCACCAAAGAAGACCGGGACATTTCCGTGTGGAAGGAAAAAATGATCACGGACCAGGACATGTTCAAAGAACTCAGCAATCTTTCCGCAGAAATCACATGCAAAAAGAACAGGCTGTACTCAGCATCTCAAGGCAAATGCTTTTTGATCCTTGTCTCCTCAACAGTTGGCCAAAATGTTTGTCAGCAACCAGCACCTGAAGAACGGCGAAGGAAGCAATGCTATCTGCAGCTGCCCCAATCCTTGGCTTCCCACCACTTCTCTGCTGACTAGTTCCAATTTGTCAGTGTTCAGAGTGGTGACGAGGTGCTGAAGTCTCTGATCTTCACCTTCCCATCTTGAAAAGGATAAACAACATACCAGTGCCACATGGATCCAGTGCCACTTTTGATGCCCGTGATTTATGCCATCATTCCCATTCCACTCATCTTCACTCCATCCTCTCTCTCCCATATCTATGCATCATCCATATTCCATCAATTTCCATCATATATGTTCATGATATCATATATCATCATATATCATATCCCCATCTTCCATCATCTTCCATCATCTTCCATCATCTTCCATCCTCCAAAAAAATGTCCCCAGGTCAGCCCAAGTCTCCGCCGGCCGCAAAGCCCCGCCGCAACGCGCCGCGCCAACTGCAGCAGCTCGGCGTAGCTCAGGCGCTGCGCGCGCTGCGCGGCGTCGCCGCCGTAGAGCGTCAGCCCGCGCTGCCCGAGCGCCGACGCCGTGCGCGCCAGGGCCGCCGTCAACGTCGCTGGCGCCGTGGGGTCTGGAGCCAAGGGGCCTGGGCCACTGGGATGGCGCCTGGGTCCATGGGGGCCTGATGGAATCGGATTTCAGATGATTTCAGGTGACCAAAACCCAAATTTGGATTCAATTGGTATGGAGTTGAACTCGGCATCAAACATCAAACACGGCACGATGTCTTTGATCGTCTGCGAAGCTTTCAATCTTTCAAATATTCTTGGGATAGCAATGTCGGTGCAATGTCGATATGTAGCCCCTGCTACTGGAATTCAGATCCAGCCTCCAGAACTGAAGGCCTTGGGCTTCATGGGTTCCATCTCCGTCTCCAATGGCTTCTGAGAGGCGATCCGCACCTTTTTCTCCGCCAAGGTTTTCATCTCATGCTGAGCCCTAAAGGTTTCCAGAGAAAACTTGGACCGGGCTTGCCAAGTCTCTGGCTGAACATGTTGGCCTTGCCTGAAGAGAATCACCCGAAAGTGACCTTCGAAGTTCACATGACCTTCTGGAAATTGGCTGTAAGCCATGATTTCCTGGCAAAATCCCACAGAATGTGGCATTTTTATAATTTTTTGTATCCACAATGCTGGGTATTGTAAGGAACATCACAGCTGACACGGTCCTGGCCCAGCTCAACGGCCCGGCAGTTGCCTGCCAAACCAAATCGATCGCCATCCTGGGACGAAGTTCGAACTGGCGGATGAGGTTTATCATTATGTGAACCTGATCCCTGAACAAAAGGGACGGAATGAGTGGAAGCCCCCACAAACAAAATAAAATATATTCGCATCACACATTGACTTTTATAATTACTATGACTATATACTGTTATATATGTATATATATATATATATTACTCTCTCTTAACTATTTATTACTATATAATACTATACTACGTATATTAACTTCAAATTTCCCTTTTCGATGCTTTCTTCGCTTCCAGCCTCGCAACAAGGGGTCCCGGGAATGTCGACCACCAGCCATGCCAAGTGGGAGATGAACGCCAAGGATTCAGGTTCAGTGACCGCCACCAGGCAAAACAACTCCTGCCCAGCACTGCCACTGGAAGTGGCAGTCCCATCTGGAATCATTTGGATTCATTTGGATCATGTTTTAAATCCTCCAAACTTCTAGAATTTCATGCCCTGAAGCGAATTGAATAGACCTTTCTGGATTTTCTGGGGATTTGAAACAAAACATCTCACCAGCTGCTCGGCGGGTGTCATAAGGCCTTACCGAACTTCAGTCCTCCGAAGGACCAGAGGGCTGCCATGTCACCATTGGCACGTCTGACAACCTGAGCAGCGTAGGTGAAGATGGTCAAGACCAGTCCCCCGTGTCCTCTGCCTGAAGATGCTAAGGTAATGGCACATCCTTGGTTGGCAAGAATCTGCAAGAAGGTCAAAAATATATCCAAAAATCATGCAACATGACATATTCCAAGCAGTTTACAGGAAATGACACGGAAACACGATGGAACAAGCCACCGTCCATCTTTGAAGTCAACGCTGCCATTGCCCATGCCATGTTACACCGAAATACGCTGTGCAAAGACAAGGAAAAAATCTCATACACAAAGTGCCTCTCAAGAATACCATGTAATACCTCCAGCCACACCTCCATTCCAAGACAAGCGTCAGCTGTGCAGCTCTCATCCAGATCCCCAGTTCTTGGCAAAGTCACCACTATTTCAGTGTCCTGGTGAAACAAATCTATGCCACATGGAAACGTATTTGAAAGTGGGGTGCTCCTGGTGAGAAATGATAGAAATGTGAGAGATTTGGGGATGAATGGTGCATTGCTGTTTCCGGTCGGACTTTTTTCCAAGAGGTCCATGAAGGAGATCCAAACTTATCCATGGAAGCTGCACCTACAATAGTCTACAATGAATACCATGAAGAACCCGGGTTTTGGGGCCCCATCCTTGGCCATGGAACTGGTCAAAGCACTTTGACCAATTCATCCCATCTCGCCCAATCTCGCCAGGCTGCTAAGTTTTGCGAAACTGTTTTTTTTGTAAGTTTCAGACATGTTTAGACTTAGACTCTTTCGACATGTTTAGATTTAGATTCAATCAATCCTATTTTTCTGCATGTCACATCTGAATCCTTGTGTCATAGCTGGAATCTGTTCACAGTCACAAGCTGGAGCCAGGGGCAGCGATTGAAAGGTGTCCAAACACAGCGCCAGAGAGCCACAGCGCCACATCAAACCACCACGTGTTGAAACTCTGCAGGCCCTGACTCAACGACATTGGTGTCCTTGGGGTGCAAAAGGAAACACACCGCCAAGTTTACCAAATAACACCTTTGGAAAGATAGAGAAAAATGTCAGGATATCAAGTGGTTCCATCAATCTTGTTCGTAAATCTCCATTAATCCTTCCATTCTCTGGAGATATGATATCCTTTCAATCCCTTTCACAATCTTTCATATCTCCATGAATTTCATAAATCTCTATGGAAATCATTCCTATCCGTCCTATCCACGTCCTGTCCACGGCGTATCCATCAGATTTCAACGTGGGATCCGCTGGGTTCCTTCTCTGAGGTCGCAACGGTCGAGGTGCTCTCTGGCAGCACCGGCGACGAGTCCGAAGATAGAGCCTGGGCGCCACTGGAACTTGAGGCCTATTAGTACTTCGCATAAACGATTGAATATCTATCTATATCTATATTATCTATATGTCATATATTATATATCATTGATCATATATCATATATCATATATATATATACAGGCAAACATGTGCAGTTTTGAATTACCTATCTACAGTATTCTACAGTATTCAATTTTTGTTGACTAAATACCAGTAAGACACTAAGAAAATATATATATATATATTTACCTCATGAACATAAAAAGTGTGAAGGAGCACGGCACTGCAGCAGGCGGTCGTTTTCTGCCCTGATTTTCGGGTGGTATCGAGAGGTTGAGCCCCGGCATCAGAGATCTCGATCTCGTCCTCCTTCACCAGCTGTGTCCACGGCTGAAGGTTGATGGTGACGACTGTCACGACTGTCACGACTGTCACGACTGTCACGACTGTCACGACTGTCACGACTGTCACGACTGTCACGACTGTCACGACTCACCGTGTCTGACCTCAGCGGCAAGGGAAGTTGAATCACTGATCAATGAGCTTTCAGAATGTGTTTATTGAGTTTATTGGTCGATTGGCCGCTAAAATGCAACTGAATATAACTAAATGGCAAATCTGATTTCGCTAAGTTTACCCTGCATCCAAGTGAGCACCCGACTGTTCGCAAAGCCGCAGGGTCCCATGTCCATTTGCTCAGCATGCTGATGATCCAGGTGTTTTTCTTCTTGAGATCTTGCATCACAAAATATTACAACGTCTACGCGGCCTTCTCACCTTTCTCCTTTCGTTTCGTTTTTTTCGGCGTTGGTCGGCTCAGGCGCCACACGGCCAATCCCATGATGGCCTCAAAGCAGACATGCCTTTGCTTGACTACTTGTGCAATCCCCAAGTCATTCACGTCATGTTAGATTCCGTAAGAATCTGTTAGATTCATGTTGGATGATGTTGGATGATGTTGGATGATGTTGGACGGATCTCTCAAACTCCAACTCACTGAGGGCTGGGGGAAAGTTTTGGTCGAGCTGCAAAGACCAGGAGAATTAGCAGCAGCGCCAGCCAGGGAGCTGAACTGTGCGTTTTCGGCTCGTCCACCTGTGCTGATGAAATATATGAAATCCAGGTCCCTCAATCGGAGCCAAATGATGAAGAGCTGCTTTGCTTCACCTTATGATCAACATCCGCAACATCTACACATCACATCATCCAGTGCATGAAATTATGATACTTATACAGTACATCACATATACATCACTTCTACATCACTTATACATCACTATAAGTATCCATAAGTATCCATAAGATTCCATAAGTATCCAGAAGTCCATAAGTCTCATTCCAGCTGTTTGATCTTTTTTGAATCCGGGTCCTGGTCACCCATGGCACCCATGGCATCCCCCAGGTGACCTGCTTCAGCTCCGATAGCTTCGACAGCTCCGACAGCTCTGCGCCGAGCGTTTCTTGGATCTCGCTGAGCTGGTCGTGCTTCTGCTTGGCCGAAGCCACGGACAAAATGTCCGCCATGGCATCCTGATACTCCTGGTGGGTGGATATAGGTGCCATGGATCACCCTTAACATGATGGAGATCTATATTATATATATATATATTGCTGCGTTTCTGGCCTGATATGATTTTTTGTTTTTTTCGAAGGTGTAAATGATCTTGATACCATGGTGCTGGGCATGGCATGAGCTTTTATCCGCCATGAGCATTCATCGGGCCAAGGTGGGGGGAGTTATGTCCAATTATGTCCAATTTGGTATCTGTGATCCAAATGTCTTGAGGAGGTGTCAACAACATGACTATGAAACATTATGAAACCTGAAAACGAGAACAAAATGGACAAAAGCATCCCGTAGCGTCTCAATGCACAACACCAGTCCTCAACATGGGAAAGAAATCCACCTCGAACCATGTAACTCGGAATATGCTCGCCTTCCAACGTCCATACATCTGCAACCGTGACATTCCTTTGCACATCTTCTGGGGTCCTGGGAGCACAGAACTTTTGTAGATCGCTCAGATTTTCCCATCTTACTATTACTAATAGACGTGGTTGCTGGCTAGTGTTGGCTAGCCATCCTTTCCCCAAGAGATAACTAGTCAACGAGTCAAATGGTTGTCCAGGGTAGGCATGGAACATCATGGAACCATGAATATCATGAGTCTGAAGCCAGCATGGTGAATCAATTTGTCATTCTGCACATGGTTTCCGAAACAGGTGGTGGCCACCTCCCGTGCACCCCACCCATACCATCCCATACCCCACCCCAACATCGCCTCTTCATGTCATCCGGGGCTGCCTGGCATCGGAGTTCAGTGCATATTTGCGGGGTCGAAAGAATGGAACAAAAAATGCAGGGGGAAAAATGCACAATATCCGCCGACCCTGGCCTTCGCCAAGGCCGGGGCGGCGCCTGGGACCACCGGAGGTGTGGATCCTGTCTTTCTTGAACCTTTGCCACGCCGTGGATCCTTTCTTTTTTGCACCTTTGCCGGCCCACACTGCAGGCAAACGCCATCACAAGGCCACAGCAATGGCTCAAGAGCACCCCACGGCCGCAGCAATGCCTTCTTTTCTAGGCGTTCAAGGCTGCCTGCTGTTCCAGCGTTGCAGCCTGCCGTTTGCCTGCATAGCGCTCTGTCGTTAGGGCGTCCATGCCTCGGGCACGCCCGCAGGCAAAAGCCACCACAAGGCCACAGCAATGGCTCAAGGCATCCCCCCGGCCGCAGCAATGGCTTCGTATAGGCATTCAAGCCTGCCGTTTGCCAGCCTTCAAACC